ATTTATAAACCTATAAAACATACAGGTATCATTCAACCTCTTTATTAATAGTGCATGCCTTGTATTAAATCAAAACCATTTTAAGGACCCCTCCCTTTGGTGATGCCTTCTTCTGCTGTTGGCTCTCATTATGTATTATGTCACTGAGGCTCATCCACAGTGAATGACAGCATCTTTTTTTCACTAGAAGCCGCACAGGCTATTCCAGGCCCAGTGACAGAGCTTAACATCCTTTGAGATTTATAGACATATTTTCTACCCACCGCTTATAACACTTCATGGGCTAATGTTGATGCATTTGTTTTCTGTGGGTGAGACTTTTCTTTCACGTTGAAATTTGAAGCTTCTTATTTTTAAAGTTTTTCAAGTCATTTTACTGGTAAACCATAATCCCAAGAAAATGGTACTGGTGAATCTTCAAGCTGTAAAGATATTGACTTTGCTTGGAGGCTTTCTGATTTATCCTTTTTTTCTCCAGCAAGAGAGTCATGCATATCATGTTGACTGGGTTGCTGAAGATTTTAATGAATTATCATTCTTGTTAGTTTACTACCGAAGAACAGATTCTATATAATATCATCTAGTATCACAAAAGGAAGTCTGGAACTAGGTGCAAATCTTGTAGGAGTAACTCATCTCTACTCATCCTGGAATCAGCAGAGATTCCAAATTTTGGAACTTGCAATCACCCAGTCTACTCATAAATCTACTGGGTGGAGGCCACGGATTCTAAAGGACATCCCTATCTGGTGCCACTGGGCAGTGCAATGTGAGTTGACCAGAAACCCTCAAGGCAGCATCCAAAAATGATGAAAAATGATGAAGGGCTGTCTCCTCTAACTTGGATTTTTGTGTCATATTTTCAATTGATCACATTTACTGAGAGTCAAAACACAGACACCTAAACAAAGTCCAGTGGTAGGGGCAAATGGGAACATTCCAATTTGATAACAAGAAAAGTAAAACAGGTAGTTGTCAATGTTTTAAAGCTGTTTCTGTCCAGAAAATAATCAATATAACACTTCAGATATCAAACTAATAATTCATTATTTCTAAAAGAATATCATAAAAAACTTTGAAAATATGAGACTTGTTCTTATCATAACATTGCAGATATTGTTTGTAACAAGACATTTCATTTGAAATTATTTTACTAAGATATCAGAATCTAACCAGTAAAATTTTAATATTTTGTATATATTTAAATAAAATAAAAGTATCTTTTGTTTGGATTTTTAAAATATATACTACCAATACAATTTTATATAATATTTTTGAGATTTTATTTACCTTTATTTTATGTTTATATGAATGTTTGTCTGAATATATGTTTGTATAATGTCTGCATAGGCCAGAGGAGAGTGTTGGATCCCCTAGGGAATGGAGGCAGAACTATCTATGGTTGCTGTGGGTTGAACCCAGGTTCCCTGCAAGAGCAACCAGAGCTCTGAACTCCTGAACCATCTCTGCAGACCCAAAAGTCATACCCTTAATACAGAAACTTTACTTAGATTGGTCATAAATAAAAAGTACATTGATTAAATGTTAAATAATTTGGAAACTGTTTAAATATAAACATTTTCATATATTTCCAAATAATTGTTAATATAAGACAAAATCATCTCAAAATAACTTCATTTAGCTATAAGAAGGATTTTTTTAAAAAGTGAGGAGAAAATCTCTGATATTGAGACTATTGAGGCTGGAGAGATGAATCAACAGTAAAGAATGGTTTTTGCTAACACAGAGGAACAGAGGTCAATTCCCATCACCCATGTTCATTAACCCAGAGCCACCTAAAACTACATATCCAGGAAGCCCAGTCACTCTTCTGGCCTCCATATATAACTGCATTCACATTTACTCATAAACACACACACAATTGTTCAGTGTTGATATAGAGTTCATGTGTATACACAGTCAATATCAAATACATAACATCAATAGTGAGACATAAAAGATAAATAAAATTCCTAAAAATAAGTGAACACAAAATCCATCATTGAATCTCCTAGGAGAAAACACACAAATAAGATTTGTTTTGCACACACATAGAAGTGACTACCTCTAGATAATAGGAAGCGTTCACTTGAAATTGGCATACATACGAACTACAGAAACTGTGTGTCATTTCCTACAACACAGATAGAATATGGCATTCACAAGCAGAAAGAAATTATGCAATTGTCAAGAATTTAATTCAGCACACATCACTGTCTACCTCACAGAGTGGAAGGTTAGTGTGGAACACACCTATTTCCAGACAGTAGTTGTTTGACCAGTAGGTCAGAGATCTGTTAAGAGTCAAGACTGACAATGAGGACACTAAGAGAGACTTACATAGATTTAATCTACATGGGAAGGAGAAAAATACAAGATCTCCTCAGTAAATTGGGAACATGGGGACCTTGGAGGTGGGCTGAAGGTGGGGAGGAGAGAAGGAGGCAGAGCAGGGAGCAGAGAAAAATGTAGAACTCAATTAAAAAAAAGGAAATTTAAATCTTAAAAAAAGAGTTAAGAAAGATTAAAAAGCAAAAACAAAAAACAAAACAAAAAAGCAAGACATTGTATGTTTGGGGACATATATTGAATGTCTGAGGGAAGGGTATTTTGCTAGATCTCTCAGAGATTCTTGCATCTCACGTTCATACCCACCAAAGTACAAATGCCAAAAAAAATCATTGTCCAATAAAATAAACCCATGTAGAAGACTTAAATTAGATCCGAAGTTATCAACTTTGCACAAAATCTAAACACAAAGTGACTCAAAGAACTCAGTGTGAAATCTGAAACACTGGATTGCTTGAAGAAAGCATATGTAGTATCCCAAGCTATAGGTGCAGGAAAGGACTCTCTTAGAAGGACTCCCTTTGCACAGGAATTAAGGTCATCAACCGGTAAGTGGAACTTAGTGAAACTAAAATGTTCCTGCACAACTACAGAATCAAGTCAGCAAAGAAGAACCTTGGTAGAGTAGGAGAGAATCTTTTCCACATACCCATCTGGTAGGGGATTAACATCCAGAATATTAAAACAAATAGTGAAGCAAATAAAAGACCCAATTTTAAAAACAGGCTCTGTGTCTGAATAGAGAATTCCCAAAATAAATTAAAATGCCCCCAAAATCTCATAAAACATTCATCATTGTAAGCAATGAGATCATTGAAAACTAAAACTACTTTAAAAGCTTGTCTCACACCAGTCAGAATGGCAAGGACCAACAAAATAGCCTACAACACATGCTGGAGAGGATACGGGAAAAGAGGAACTATTATTCACTATTGGCAGAATTGCAAACTGGTACAGCCAATGAGGACACACATCAGTGAGGAGATCTATCCAATAGCTAAAGTGAAATCTGCCACATAAGCCAGTTCTACCATTACTTGACATATGACCCAAGTAACTTGACTTCCAACTTAATAGATCAGACATGTCCATTACCTCTCTGTTCATAATAACTAGGAAACTGAAACAACCTGAATTAATGAAAATGTAGTATATATACATGATGGAATAATATGTAACTTAAAGAAATTATGAGACTGTGAAATTTGTAAATAAATAGATTGAACTGAAAAAAAATTATAGTGAAAGATGTAATGTCAGACTTTTAAGAAACAATAATATCTCAAGGTACCCTTCCTAATACATAGAATTGTGGCTTATGCTGAGCGAGCTCATGCCTGTGGATCCTCTTGTTTGGGCCACCTTGCTCCATTCTAGCTCACCATCCTATACTCAAAAGCTTCTCCTGTCATGTTCCTACACAGTGTGAGTGTGTCATTGCTTATATCTTGAGTTTTATTTCTCTGAGACCCAACCATAATTATCAACATTTTTGTCAGATGCAAAGCAAATAACTTCAGAATGAAATATAATGGATGGAGAAGTTCAGTAAGGTCAGCCAGTACCATAGATTAGAAGGTCTACCATTATCTTAGAAGGAAATGGTAGCCCACAAGATTTAATAATGTTTGCATCTTATACCAAAAAAAAAACTTATATAAAAAAGCTTCACAATAGCAAGGTCTTCAAAGTTGTAAATTTATCAACTGTTGTGGTTAATTATTGTCAAGCTTGCACAATCTGAGAAGAGAAAATATCAATTACAGAATTGCCTCCATCACATTGTTCTGATTGCTAGTTAGTGAAGGAGGTTCCAAACAACTACCAGAAGTAGGATATGAGTACAAGTGCAAGCTGAAGAACCTGAATGTATAAGGAAGGTAGTTAAGCAAGACACAAGGAGCAAGTTAAGGAGAGGTATTCTTCTGTGGTTCCTGCTCCAAGTTCCAGCCCTGGCTTTTTGCCAAAATAGAATAAAACCTGTAAGACAAAATAAATTCTGTCTTCCTGAAATTGCTTATAGTCATGGTTTTTATTGCAGCAATAGAAACCAAACTGGATATGTTTTATTCTCCTAGATAAACTAAACTAGATAACTTTTAATTTGCAAAGGATCTTAATGCTATCAATGAAGTTATTTGTGAGCAATGTCTTCTGGGATGGCAGAGGCTGATCTTAACTGCTGACCTGCCAGGTTTTGGAATCACCTAGAAGACACACAACTGTGCAAGCCTGTGAGGGTGTGTTCAAGGAGGCTTCACTGAGTAGGGAAGACCCACCATTGATGACTGATGTCTAAGAATCAATAAAAAGAAAATAAAGGAGAAAATCAGGTAACCACAGTGTATTAGCTTCTTTATTGGTGATGCAGTGTGACCAGTTGCTTGATACTGCCATCAATACTCCCCTGAATGATGGACTCTATTCCTTCAAACTGAAAGTAAACAAAAAAATCCTCCATTAACTTGAACTTGCTATACATATTTTTTTAATATTTTGTAGCTATAAGATAGTAACTAATTCATACAACACAACTTTTTCATTATTTCCTAAACCACAAAATATTTATTTATGGACAGGTAATTTTACACATCCAACACTAACTAAATTATATTTTAAAGCAAAAATCTATTAAATATTATGAAGTCATTTTAAAATCAATAACTTAGGCCCTACAGTGCATTAGTTGTATGAATATCTATTTCTTTTTCTCAAAACAATGACAGAATTTAAAAGTGAATCACACACTTTAATACTTTAATTGAACAATATGGACAGAGTTTTCTCAACAAGGCACAGGGACAGTTCTCTACTGATACACCAGAGTGAGTATTCACTTGTACAAGAGTGAAAGCTCATGTTGGAAACAATATGAGCCAGATGTAACCAAAAAGACAAATTATATATTTTAAAATTCAGTCATGATTCATTTTTACTTATTTCATATATACCCCCAAAATTGTCTTTAATTATATAAATTATGTTTGTCACATTAAGTGCTTGAAACCCTCTGAAGGACCAAGTCCCCTGTATTATATATCTTCTAAACAGATTTTCTTCTCTTTCCAAATACATTATTAATCAATTTGGCCATTGATTTAGACCCACTGGATCTCCTCTTCTCCTTGTGTTTGAAGATCAACAGAATGTCCTTGATGAGTCTGAGAAACATCACCTCCACCTCCAAGGACTGCTCTGCTGCAGACAGTTCACAGAACTGACAGTGGAAATCAACTGCTAGCTTATGCCCTTCTTCCCAGCCAACCTCTCGCATGTGGCAGAGGTCTTGCTTGTTGCCAACTAAAACCACAGCTGGTTCCACCATCCTGAAACACAATCAGTAACTTTTTCAAGATGGTTTCAACAGCTCTAGAAAGTAACATAGATTATATCCATAAGGCAAAGAGTCAAAAGTAAGTCCTATTAGGTATTATGTTTAAGGCCATAGATGGTCATGTGTGTGCTTAGAGACACATATCCCCAGCGCTACAAAATCATTTTCCACAGAATGGAATAAATAACACAAACAAGGCTCTCTAAGTTTAGAGTTTGGAGGACACAAGTATTCTTTATTTCAGGATAGGTATAATAACCAGGGATGTGAAATCTTCCCCACTTCATCTCTCTGTGTGCTAAGCAACATAGGGAAATAGGCACCACCACAAAACCATAAGATTCTATCTCACCCCAAAGTCCAGAAACATGAAGACATGTGACGTAGGCTAGACAATTGAAACCATGAGCCAACATAAATCCGTCATGCCTTAAACTTTTTCTACTTGGTACAGTGTCACACCTATACAAAAGTAACTAATTTAGTTCTCTTTTACGGATGTTGTGTTAAACCCAGGTAGCAATTATTAGTTAGAAGTTTAGCAGCTTTAAGCCCCCACTCAATTGTACCATCATCCAAGACCTTGTGGGCAACACTGATAAGAACCTATGTAACTCCTCACATCAGCATTTGAACAAAAATGAACACTTTCAAAGAGATATGCTGAAGCAACAGAAATAGAAAGATTACTCTAAGAATCTCAAACAGCTAAGTGTTTCATTAATAGAGCGAAAATTCTGAGACACAGTCATCTTCCTTCGCTATCCTGTGTGCCTAGACATTTACCAGTGAATTGCTGACCATGTTTTTATCTCGGGTAGAGCAGAGAAAATGTATCTCCACTCTTACCATGTATAGATGGTGGACTATTCAGTCCGTTTTTACTGTGACATTCTGGGTAACCAGTAATGAGGAACTGGATTTCACAGGATACCAAACATAACAAATCTGGATTTATTTAGGATCCTCACCATTTTCATGAGAACAGAAAGAAAAGGTGGAAGTGTGAAATATCTGCCGTAGAGAGGACCATTATTTTGCTAGTGAGTGTCGTGTTAACAATAGAAGCTATCTTGTAAAATGGCCATTTACTCAGGGCAAGTAACTGTTTATGTCAGCCAGGACATAAAGCATCCTCATCTGATTCCTTTTACTACGTGTGTAGCTCCTGTGGAATGGGAAGGGGAATTGTTCAGGGCTGTTAAATTTTGTAATTGAAAGTCTGTATTAAATTCTTCCTAATGATGCTCAGGGCAAGATGATGATTTACGAAAATGGAAAGGAGATGAGAATGAAATGTCTTACCTTTTACAATGAGTAGTTGGTGGCTCCCGGATTCTGCAGAGAAGGGCTTTTGCAAAAGCAAAGGAAGGCCTGTCACTGATGTCATACACAATCACAAACCCATCTGCCCAGTGCAGCTCACTTGCGAGGGAGCACTTTGTCTTCTGTGGCTGAAAATGAACCAAGCACATTCAAGTGTAGTTTTCTCACAACAATGTTCTATGTTGCAGTTAATTAATAGTTACCTATTTCACCTGGGGGAGAGTTTAATAAGGCTAAAGAACAATCATTTCTAAAGAACAATAACTTCTAAGATGTGTTTTCAGAGTTTCTTTCTTATCATTGTCTTTCTTAAGCTAAAACAAAAGCCTATAATAGTTATTTTAATCTCACTTTACAACTTTCTTTAAAAACTATTTTTCTAAAAATTTGATATGATGCCTTTTAAATTAACATTCACACATCTGTCTTGAAAAAAGCATGATACCTATACTAATTAGCAGACTATTTTTATTTGTGTGTGTGTGTGTTTATTTGGGTTGTGCACACACATGTTCACATGTGAGTGTCATTATATCCTAAGCATGGCAAACATGTAGAAGTCAGACAAAAACCTCAGGTATTGGTTCTTCCCCTTTCACCTTGCTGGAGACAGAACTTTTGCTATGGACAACAGGCTGTCCTGTGCACAGACTTCCTGTCTCCTTCCATCACAGCACAGGAGTGTCAGAATTACACTTGTCTGCTACAGTGCTCAGCTCTACATGGATTCTAGAAATCCCAACTCAGGCCCTAATGATTGCATGGAAAGCACTTTACCCACTGAGCTACCTCCCCAGCCTGGAATATCTGTTTATTTGCAATAGTAGATTCAACCCTATGAAAGGGAAAAATATAAGAGTTTATCTAAAATGGTTTATAGGCTAATTTAGGGTAAAGTACCTAAAACAAATCAAAAACTTGCTTTGAAATCTTAGAAAGCTGACCATTTATTATCATGTTTATGATGAGAAGATATTTTGAGAGAGTATAACTGGAAGATTATTTTGATATTTTAGTGCATTGACTAGATAAACAAATTATTATCAAAATTTATCTTATGTACACTCTTCTGAAAACCAGTTACAAATGTAGACAATTTAGTGAAAATATAAACTGAACTGACAAGATGTTCTGTCTTAATTTCTGACCCGTACACTATGAACTCACAGGAATAAGTATGACCAGTGCTAGGAGGAGGAAATCTACAGAGACAGCTGAACCTACCTCATGGAAACTCAGCAACTCAAGACCGACAGCTGTGGAGCCTCCATGGGACCTAATTAGGCCCTCCATATGTGGGAGACAGTGGTGAAGCTTGGATGATTCGTGAGGCACTTGGCAGTAGGACAAGGATCTATCCCTGGTGCATGAACTACCTTATTGGAGCCCATTCCCTATGGTAGAATGTCTTGCTTGGCCTTAATGCAGGGAGAGGGGCTTGGTCCTGCCCTAACTTAATGTGCCAGACTTTGTTTACTTCCCAAGGGAGTCCATACCCTTTGCGAGGACTGGATGCGAGTGACCTGGCAGGAGAGGCGGGGATGGGGGTAGGAAGACAGGGAGTATAAAATGAAATTTACAAATTTAAGATGAAAAAATTAAAAAGATTCCTTTTAATGGGCTGGCGAGATGGCTCAATAGCTAAGAGTACTTACTGCTTATGCAGAGGGTTCAAGTTCAGTTCCTAATACCACATGGTCACTCACGACCATCTGTGATTCCAGTACTAGGTTATATATGTCTTCTTCTTGCCTTTCTGGGCACTTCATGCCCATGCTACACATATGGATAAATCACATGCAGGCAAAACATTCATATACATAAAATAAAATCTAAAAGATTGTTGTCAAGACTATTTTCAGGGCTCAGTTTTATTGTGTATTAAAGGTATTTTTCTATGCTAACTTTTAATTGATATTTATAGAAATCTCAATAATGCAATTTACACTAAAAGAAATGTCAACATTTTGATAATTAAAATTGAGAAGTAATTTTATTTTAGTGTTGACATTATTTTGCATATTTATTTCCACTACTCTTTAAATTATGCTTGAAGAACAGTAAACCAAAGGGGTGTTTTGTTTGACTTACTTGAAAACATGGGTCATATATTTCGAGATTCAATGCTTTCCCTTCCAAACACAACTGCTTATTGTAGATAGATTCTGAAAAAAAAAATACGTGCTCTTTGTCATTATGGGAAAACTTCAGAATAAACGCTCATTAGTAGCTGGCCTTGGTCTGCTAAATTCAGCAAGTCATATTTTTGGGCTATCTTTACTGAAGATTTCTTTCTCTCTCTCTCTCTCTCTCTCTCTCTCTCTCTCTCTCTCTCTCTCT